ACTTGATGGTTTATCATAATTCAAGCAGTCTCTCTTCCCTCTTTTTAATTCTAATTTATTTTTCCCCATTGATGGGATAATGTTAAGAGATATGCCTTTAATTTTACAGATTCTTTCTTCTGCCTGATTGAGCCTACTATTGAGTCTTTCTATTTCATTTGCATTCTAGAATTTCTGTTTGCTTCTTCTTTGTTTTCTGTCTCTTTTTAAACTTCCAGTTTTGTTCATGCATTGTTTTCCTTATTTCACTGAGCTGTCTCTCTTTGTTCTCTTAAATCTCACTGTGCTTCCTAAAAATAATTACTTTGAATTATTTTTCTGGTAACATAAGTCTCCATTTCTTTGGGATCAGTTATTGGAAAATTATTGTTTTCCCTTGTTGGTGTCATGTTTCTGGCTTTTTCATGTTTCTAATGACATTGCATTGATATCTGTGCATTTGCAGGTATAGCCACCTTTTCCAGCCTGTTCAGACTGGCTTCAGTGGGAAAAGACTTTCACCTGAAGATATGGCTCTGCAGTTGCAGGCTGTGCGTGGTGCAATATCATTGGTTCCTGGGAGGGAACAGTGGCATAGTCTCTGTGAAATGTATCAGCTGAGTCCAACATTGGTGCACATCGCAGGGGTCTCCTGTGTCCAAGAATGTGGATGTCACCTGTGGGTGGATGTGATGAGTAGACATACTGGGATCCCTTGGAAATGAAGGCTGCTGGGTATTCTTGTTCTCTTTTGTGCCTGTGTTAGGAAGCTCTAGTTTAGGGGACACCTCTTTTCATCCCACCCAGGGTGCTGGAACTCAGAGAAATAGAAAAGATGGTCCTGGGACATGTGTATGTGGAGCTACTTTAGCACATGGGTCTTCAGGCACAGGTAGACTTGCTACAGTGATCCTGGTGTCTAAAGTGCTGGCATATGCTGATCTCCCGTGGAACCAATGTCCTGGTCTGGGGCTTACCAGAGGACATGATGGCGGTGGGTGTGGTGGGGGTAGAATGCAGCAACAGCATGGATTCTGGGATGAGAGTGCATAGTTGGGGCTTGGACCCAGTGGGCAGGGGCACAGTAGTGGCACAGCCTGGGATGGTATGTCTAAGCCCCAAATATGTCCCCAAAGGGCAGTTGTAGACCAGCAGTATTCCATCCCCTGTGTGCCCAGTGAAGGGCATCTGCTGGCGTCCAGGGGCAAGTTGCAGAGCAGTGGCAGTGTGGCCCCAGCAATGATGTGTGAGAGGTGTGACATGGGGTATATGGGGAGGAGCTGAGAACAGTGGCATCATGGCTTCAATAATGAGTTAAGTGTGACTTAATTTGCCTAAGTATATCAATCCCATGAAAGTTTGTTTTTTAGATTTTTTAAATTAAAGTATTGTTGACATACAATTTTATACTATTTTCAGGTGTACAATCTAGGATTTGGCAATGATATACATCATGACATTCTCACCATGATAAATGTATTAAACATGTCAACATACAAAGTTAATACAATATTATTGACTATATTCTCTATGCTGTACTTTTCATCCCCATAATTTATTTATTTTATAATTGGAAGTTTGTACCATCTTTATTGTCTTCACATATTTTGCCACTCTTCTGCTCCTCTTCCATCTGGCTTGTTCTCTATATTTATTCATCTCTCTGTTTATTTTGTTTTTGTTCATTTGTTGTTGTTTTTTTTTTGATTACACATTTGAGTGAAATTGTATGGCATTTGTCTTTCTCTGTCTCACTTATTTCACTTAACATTAATACCCTCTAGGTCCATTCATGTTGTTGTGAGTGACAAGATTTTATTCCTTTCACAGGCTGTGTAATATTCCACAGGTGTCTTCACCATATCTTTATCCATTCATCCTTTGATTGTCACTTAGGTTGCTTCCAAATCTTGGCTATTGTAAATAATCCTTGAAGATACATAGGAGCACACATATCTTTTCAAATTAGTGTTCCTTCAGACCAATATTCAGAAGTGGAATTGCTGGGTCATATGGTATGTTGTTTTTAATTTTTTGAGGAACCTCTGTATTATTTTCTACAGTGGCTGCACCAACTTCCATTTTCACCAATAGGGCATGATAGCTCACTGTTTCTCCTTGAAAGGTTTTTGAAAAAGTGTTATACAAGTGACTCAAAATCAATGTCATAGAATTACAGAGGTAATCATATATTTTTATTTGGGTCATCAAAGAAATTTTGGTTTTTAAACTGAAATTCTTCTAATTGACAAATACCTAAAAAGTGAAGATGGGAGATACGGTGGGAAAACTAAACCTTTTCTAGCAGAAGAATTCGTACAAAACATTCTAAGTGATATATATATAAGTTGAATGATGGAAATGCAATTTTAACATAATGCTCTTATAGTTTTTAAAGAGTAATTGTATCATAGAGGGTGAAATGAATCCTAACCAGTCCTTGTGCCTCTGTATTTCTGTTTTTATTTCTGTGGTTTCAGTTACCTGTGATCAGCTGAATCTAGAAGTAGATGGTCCTCCTTCTGACATACCATCAGAAGCTCAGTAGCAGTCCAATGCTGCGGCACAGCGCTGCATCATTCATTCACTCACCTCACCACATAGGCACTTTATCAACTCCATCTTCACAAGAAGAGAGAGTACAGTACAAGGTATTTGGGGGGCAGAGAACACATCCAGATAATTTTTATTATGGTATATTATAATTGTTCTATTTTATTATTAGTTATTAATCTCTTTTATTATGCTATTATTTATTAATTATTGCTAATACTGTGATTATATATTAAACCTTTATTAGTAGATACATACAATTATAATTTGTATTATTTTGAAAAATTAACCTATTTACCTTTATGAAATATTAATCTTTATTTTTAACAGTGCTTTCAGTATACTGTATCTCATATCAGTACAGCCACAGAGTTATTCTATGGTGACGGCTTAAATAAATCTTTTCCTATCTTTTTTGCTTACAAACTTCGTGTACACATATACTTAAGTATTACCTGTAAATAGAATATACAGTTAATTTTAAAAATCTAGGCTGAAGTTTTTAAAATCTAGTGTTTGTGTTTAAAGGATTTAGGCTATTGCTGATTTACTTACATTTGCATATGCCATGTATTTCATATTTTCCTTTCTATTTGTCCAACATCCTTTATGTTTACTTTTTTTATCCTTTCTTGCTTACTTTTAAAGTAACTTATCATTCAATCATCCTACTATTGTCTTCTTGATAATGTATATGGAATATATTCCTTTAGAAGATGCTCTTCTTTTATAATAATCATGACAGTAATAAAAAATGCTCAGTTGCTGTAGCCAACCTAAGCACTACATATTCCAAAAAAATTGTATTTCAAGGAGCCCCTTGAAATGAAGAAACAACCTACTGATGGAGAATATATTTGTAAATCACTTGTGATTATAGATAAGAGTCCTAACATCAACTGTAAGACAAATAACCCAGTTAAGAATGAAGAACTGGAAGTGAAATGTTTGCGAAGAAGATACACGATTGGCCAATATGCACATCAAAAAGTTCTCAACATTATTAGCCATAAGACAAATACAATTCAAGAACACAAAGAGACCATTTCACATCAATAAGGATTAATAAGATGACAGGCTTAGAGCATTTTAGAAATTAAACTCTGCGATGAAGTGTCTTTCCAAGCTTCCTTTATTTAATAGATGTGGAAACCTCTGGCTGGAAATGTTACATAATAACTAGTATTATATAGTGAAAAAAATTAAAGTTCCAAAAATATAGGTACCTGCTTATCAATTATGTTTTTGGAGCTTTTACTACAACACACCATTATTAGTTCTAAATTGCTCAGGGACATTAATTTGCAAATGACGTATTTTAATCGTTAAATGCATTCAAGGATCAATTAGAATTGTAGTATAAACACAAAGTTAACTAAAATTTCTACAGTTTTACTCGTTGGCCTATCTTTTATAACTAACTTGTGGTTTTAATGTAGAAAAGGCTTAGCTTGCTTAGCATTTCCTGAGGGGAGTGGTGAGGATTTGTTTATGTCCACTTTCTCCATCAAATTTTTTATTTATATTTTCAGCAATATTATACTTTTTTCTTCTTGGGACAAAGTGATAATTTTACTTCTGCTTATAGACGGAAAATAATTATTTTAGATTACATATTGGAAGAACACTGCTTCCTATAATCCTTAAGTAGCAATTTTCCAAAGCACTATTTCCTTTTTTCTTCCCCACAAAGGCATTAATAGTGAAACTATCCATGTACAGTTTTATATATTTTTATTCAAAGTTAGGAATTGCAGAATTAATAATATGACAAGTGATAACAATTTTAAAAAGAAATTCACAATACCGCATTAAATTTCGTTGACCATAATAAGCTAAAATAGGCAAATTAGAAGTTTGTGCTATTCGATCTAATTGCATTTTATACAATAGAAAACACTAATTTGGAATGCTTCATGTATCAGAGATGCTATAGCCAGCTTTAAGGAATGACTGATGCTGAATCCTGACTTCTCAATGGCACAAAGTCGCAAGGAATCCTGGGTTAGTGGGGCACTTTATGCACTTTTTGTGGTACATGGCTATTACCTATCAAGGCAGGCAGCCTGATTTCAGGCTCTCGGGCATAAAAAATTGTATAGGTAGTTTGGGGCAGCTTAGGTCATGCCTGAAGGTGGCAAGTGGTTCACATCTATTAAGAGAACTCAGATTGATCTTATAATTTCATAAAAATAACTATAGGATTTTATAAGAGGGCAAACATCTGTACTTTTCTGTGTGCTAAACCTGATTCTACCCACACCTTCGCAGTTTTGCCTCTCCCCTGCCTGTCCAGCTCTGAGAAACTAGTTGTGAATGGGGCTCGTCAGAACAGTATGTTAATTAGTCCAAGTTACTAAAGAGCAGGACTAAGAGACCTAAAGTCACACTCCTCCTCCCAGTTGCCCTTTTCTGTTCTGTCAGGACACAAAGCCTAGCCCCTCTGGGCCTGCTCTTTAGAGCCTCCCTGCTATTCTACATCAGGTGCAGTCACAGAGGACCAGGCTTCTTGCTTGGTCTCTTCTCAGAGAGCTGGTTTTAAGATATATATTGTTTGTATCTTGAGAGTAGAGGGAGCAGGAATAGAGGCAGGATCTGAGTCTTTATGCTCCCACTTGGCCTATTTCAAAATTTTATTTTGTATATTGTGTGTTATGCAGCTACCAACTGATCTGTAACTTGCGCCTCTCTGCTGATCATACCTTCCACAGACCCCCAAGACCCTTTTGGGAAAACTTTGATTTTGGGTGTAAGATTTGGGTATCATTTTCCAGGCACACTATTACACAAATAGTGAGACCTCATATATAATCACTAAGATATAAATGTATCCAAGAACAAAGAAAAATTTAAGCCAAAATATTTGAGCAAATGGGTCCCCTTCGCACTATTTTGGAATTTGACTTAAAATGAAAAATATGAACTAATTTGATCTAATTGTATTATGAAATTCTCTCCCCTTTGCAGTAACTTTTTTAATTGACTCACTCCATAGCCTTTAAGGAGACTCACTCAAGCTGTTTCACAGGACAAAGGCAGTTTATCAGACCTTCCGGGTAATTTGGATAAGGGCCAAGGCAATCATGATACCCTTCTTTTCTGGAAGATTTTGGATCACTGACCTCAAACTAAATACTAAACTGCCATCTTTTCCAGAGCTCTGGACAAACTCTTTGATTTCCAAAAAGAAACCATTTTTTGTACTATTAAAGGGCATCAGCACAGAGGCATTTTTTATTTGTTTCAGTTCTTCATTCCTTTAGTTTGCAAGGAAATGAATACATACATTTCTAAAGAGAGAAGAATTATAAGAATAGTCTCATCTTCTAACATGCCAAACCACTGAATCCCTTTAGAGGAAGAATGATATGAAATCCAGTTTCTAAAACCAATGTATAATCAGTGATTACTAAGCAATTATGGTAATTTACTTGTCAATTCTCAGCAAGAGGCGACAGTAATGTGGCAATTGTAGATTTAATTTTCACATTGTGGCAATGCAGATTTAATTTTTTTCTTAAATGAGTGCTAAAAACAGCATAATTTCTATTCCATGTGTTAAACAATACCAGGACCAGGAATTTTCCTCTTGGTCTTAATGTTAAATAGTACTGAGTCCTGGCAAAAGTAGCTCTGCAATTTGTCCTTGGACGACTGGATATGACTGACTGAAGTAGTTCAGTCATTAAAGCATGTAGTTTGCTCAACAAGA